GGCATAGGCCGACCCGCAGTGCTCGGCTGCTCTCCGGGTTGCCTACTCGCTCTCGCGCCAGGGTTGCCTAACCGCAGGCGCTCAATGAGTTCATTCTCATTTATTACTTGGAACGTCTCTCTCACCCTCTCTACGCTATTAAGTGGAGAATAATGAAGGATGTCAAAATTTTTCATCAGAGTGACCTCCGAGAGTTGTAGCACTGTTATTGCATATAAATATTATGCTATATAGTATACTCCGTCACGTCTCTTGTTTGTTGCATACATCTCAGGAGTTTGTAATACCCGCGACGCCGAATGCAAGAAAGCTGCAAAAGTATCACACCATAAAGCCATGTACCGTGGTGCAACGCAACGTGCTTCATGTGGACGCCACCGCTAAGTGGGACACGACGGGGCTAAGCCATAGAGGGGTGGGTGTGGGGAGCAGGGGGTCGGAGCGGGGTGCGCTTTTAGTACCCACTCACCAAGTTGGGTGCTGCTGACCCGACGTACTTTCGTCTCTCATTGGCGGCGGCTTGGGGAGAGGGGGGGGCTCGGGGGGCTGGTCGGCTCTCCAGACGCCATTAGGGTGGCATTTACGGATGCAACCCGAACTAGCCAAGCGATCAGAAACTCTGCAAACACCCGACGCAGCCTTATTCTCACATGACTTCCCCGTTAAGAGTTTGGCGAGGCGGAGTCTGCTGGGGGGGGGGGGGGGCGAGGACAAGAACAGCGCTCACGGGCCGGGTGCCCGGGAGCCCCTCTGCAGCTCCTCCGGAGCCGTGCCAGAGCCCTTCTGACCCAATCAAAGTGGACCTCGTTAGAGGCAACGAATAACCAGCATTATATAGCGGCGCCGAGCGGCGCACAGCCAGCACATTATCGGACGGCACGGACGGATCGGCTGACCCGACCGTGACTGTTGCCTAGAGATGAGCGAACATGTTCGCATTCGAACGAACTTGAACGAACATCGTGCTGTGTTCGTTCGAACACGAAAATGGGGTGTTCGGATTCGAAATGTTCGAGTACTACTCGAACAGAAGTTCGTAGGCGAACAAATTTGAAGTGTGTTTCAGAAAGACGTGTCATATTTGGGTGTAATTAAGGGGGCAATGGCATGTTAACAGATAACTACAATTTTAAACGTTAATGTAACTATTGTAAACCAGCGTGAATAGTTATTTTAACTCTTAAGCAAAAAACAAATTGTCTTAATTTTTCGTGATCGGATCGAATTTGAACATTACATTGTTCGGTTCGGTTCGTTCGAAGAAAAGTAAGGCTGTTCGTGTTCGTTCGAAGATTTTTAGACCAAATTTGTTCGAGTTCGTTCAAATTCGAACTGGCCTGTTCGCTCATCTCTGCTGTTGCCGCAGGGCGCGAAGTACTATCACTGTTACACATTGCTGACCCCGACCGTGTTTTTGCAGCGCCATGGAGATGCTACCCGATGACGTGCTACTGATGGTGCTGGAGGAGCTTTATGAGGAGGCGGACATCTTCGCCTGCCGCCTCGTGTGCAAGAGGCTGGCCGCTCTGGCTCTGCACCCAGCAGTGTGGCGGAACTTTTACCTGAGCTGCTTTGAAACTCACTGCGTGTGCCCGGTGCTGCGCCTGGCGCCGTGCCTCGCCGACATGTACATCAAGCTTCCTGCAAATGGGTGTCACCAGTGGGCATTCGCCTCGACCAGGTGCGCTGTGAAGAGTTTGTGGATTTTCGTGGACGGATCATCCAACGCCGCGCACGCTGCAGCGATCATCTGCAAGCAGGAGATAAACGGGCGGCTTACTGACGTACATATTGAAATCAGGTCGGAGGCTGTGGCTGAGGTAACCATGCTACTAGGCATGTTGGCGTCGACATCTCGCCTAGAGATGCTTCGCGTCGAGGCGTACCTCCCAGAACACCTGCTGTCAACCACAACCGCTCCCATGGTCACCGCCGCAGTCGCATCGTCACTCAGGGACTTCACATGCCGACTTTCCGCGTTTACCGAGCCGTTCGTGAATTTCATCCTGTCCGAGCACGCCGCCACCCTCGAGGTGGTTGACCTCGACCCCTCCCCATCCAGCTGGATGTTCACCTCGACTGCACCGCTGCTGGTCGGCGCGACGAACCTCAGCAAGCTGACCTGCTGCTGTCTGCCCGGGATGGAGGCCCTGACAGCCTGCAAGTCCCTCAAGGTCCTCGAGCTCACCGTCTACACCGAGAGTCTGAACCGGCCCGTCGTCGCGGGGGTTGCCACGCTCCTCCGGGGCGCCGAGCAACTGCGTGAAGTGAGCCTGCAGTACGAGCCCGCGGTGCGCAGAGTCACAGACGTCGGCGCTGAACTAGTTCTCGCTCTGGCCTCTGGACGGTCCCGCGTGGAGACTGTGATCATCCAAAATTATGCTTCTGATTGTGGCGCAAATTCCCTCCTGTACCGGCCGGTGGTCAGCGCGCTCCCGTCGCTGCCAGCGCTGCGGCACCTGAGTTTAATCGAGTTCCTAGATAATCCAGACCAAATTCTGTTGGCCATCAGCCCCGACGTGGCACCTGCGCTGCAACAAGTCGAGGTAAACCTGCGAGAGGGCTGCGCTCACTCCTGGATCCATGGGGACACGGTGAAGTCTGTTTTGACTGTCAATCCCTCACTCCATATACACTTATGGGCCTCGAACAGTGGCTTTTGCGAAGCCGCACATTGCCAATCATGCCAACTGGACTGCCATGCTGAACTGAGGGCCGTTGGTTGGTTCTTTCATTGGTTGTTTTCTCATCCCCCTACGTATAAATGTCCAGTAAAACACACCGTACGTTTCGAGCACTGGGTCCATTTACCCCTATGAACTGTGTTTGAGTATATCCGTTTTTTTTCCTTTTCATCTTTCTTTGCTGTAGCCAAGTTCTGGGTTTTGTATAATAACTTACAATTGCTTTTACTTATTAAAGGTCGATTTCCTCTAACACAGTTGCTTTTATCGCCTTCCTCATAAACACACGCGTGCCCATCACACCACCAGCTAGAAAACGTGAATTGTACGCACACATGTCGTATGGAGTGAGTCGTGCGTACAGGTTTATGTACGCAAACGTGCTTAGTTATGTACTTATTCATACAGAAATATGATAAATTTTGTGCATCAACTTAAAATGTACATTTTTGTGTTTATTTATGCATAAAATTATATACAAATCCTGTCTGTTTTTGTGCATAAATCCGTGCGCACAAATCACTACATATGACATGTACGAAAAAGTACTTTTCCAGTCAAAGTAGTGCATCAAAGGTAGCCCTCATCCTACTCCTACGATCCAAACGTTTCTCCCGAAATTTTGTTATTTACTTAAATGTTCCCATTAAATGTTCCAAAAAGGTTTAGAAGTCCGAAATCGGACCGTAAATATGCCGTTGACACAGATTATTCCCCTTTTAATCGACACTAGGCTCAGAGGGTACGAAATTGGTTTAATCCTCTCTACATCGTGAGGGGAGGGAGGGGGGATACGGTGTAATGGAAGTGATTCCCTGGGTTACCCCAATTAAAGCGCTTGCGCTCACCTACCTCTTTTACCTTCAGGGGGAGGGGCGGGGGGCAGGCCCACTGGGCTGGGCAGCACTAGAGCTTGTGCACATTACCCCAAAACTCGTCTATGCCCATCTCTCTTTTCCCATAAAACGGGCTGTGGTGCGAGAGAGACAGAAACAATACCTCGAAACTTAAATAGAGCGGCAGTGGACAGGCCCTGGGCGGCACAGGCACAGGTCGTCTCGCGGGTCGCACCCGTCAGTCGGGCGAGGGCTAGGAGTCGTCAATACGTCTTGCCTACGCCCAGCGCACAGAAAGACATTTAACTTCAGTACAGCCGGGTGGGGCGAAGCTGTATAACCGGGGCCTCCTTTACCTTGGCTCCCTCCATACTCCCCAGTTTTGACGTCCTTGACCTCCACGGGCCGTCGCGGTAGGGAATCGACTGTCTACAGGTATAGGCAGTCTAGCCTAAGGTCACACTTTTCCTCTCCCCCTCTCACCTGCGATCTCCTATGCTGCCCGTGCTTCGAAAAGTGGGACCTTAGGCTAGACTCACTATACAGAATCCTCTCAAGGTTTGTATGGCCGTACGGGCTGCACAAGGGCTGCGCACTTGAAGGGTCACCTGCCCATCTGTGATGCAACCAAATGCTGTGAACATAGCAGATCTGGCAGCGTGATTAAAAATGCGTTCGAAAGCGGTCAGTCGGAGTATCCTTTACCCATCCTCCAACGACAATTACTTTCGAACGCATTTTGGATCGGCTGACCCGACCATGACTGTTGCTCGGCGGCGCGAAGTACTGTCATTGTTACACATTGTTGATCCCGGCCGTGTCTTTGCAGGGCCATGGAGATACTGATGCTACCAGATGACGTGTTGCTGATGGTGCTGGTGGAGCTGAATGAAAAGGACACCCTCGCCTGCCGCCTCGTGTGCAGGAGGCTAGCCGCCCTGGCCCTGCACCCAGATCTGTGGCGGCACTATTCTACTTGCTCCGGTACTTGCCGTTGCCCACTGCTTCGCCTGGCGCCGTGCCTCGACAAGATGTACGTCGTCTTTCCCGTAAAGGGGTGTGACCAGTGGGCATTCGCCTCGACCAGGTGCGCCGCAAAGAGGCTGTTTATTTATGTGAAAGGATCCTCAAACGCCGTGCACGCTGCAGCGGTCATCTGCAAGCAGGAGATGCTGGGCCGGCTCATTGACGTTGACGTTTATATTGAAATCAGGTCAGAGGCGGTGGCTGAGGTAACCATGCTGTTGAGCATGTTGGCGTCGACATCTCGCTTAGAGAGACTTCGCTTCGCCGCGACAGAGGGCCTGCTGTCAACCACAACCGCCCCCATCCTGGGCGCCACCGTGGTCACATCCTCACTCAAGGACTTCGAATGCCGCCTGTCCGTGTTCTCGGAGCTTTTCGTGAATTTCATCCTGTCCGAGCACGCCGCCACCCTTGAGGAGGTTTACCTACACCCTTCGCTGTCTAGCTGGAAGTTCACTTCGACCGTGCCCCTTCTGGTCAGCGCGACGAACCTTAGCAAGCTGACCTGCTGCTGTCTGCCCGGAATGGAGGCCCTGATAGCCTGCAAGTCCCTCAAGGTCCTCGAGCTCACCGTCCACACCGAGAGTCTGAACCGGCCCGTCGTCGCGGGGGTTGCCACGCTCCTCCGGGGCGCCGAACACCTGCGTGAAGTGAGCCTGCAGTACGAGCCCGCGGTGCGCAGTGTCACAGATGTCGGCGCGGAACTAGTCCTCGCTCTGGCCTCCGGGCGGTCCCGCGTGGAGACTCTGATTATCCAAAATTATGTTTCCGGTTGTGGCGAAAATTCACCACTCCACCAGCCGGTGGTTAGCGCGCTTCCGTCGCTGCCAGCGCTGCGGCGCCTGAAGTTAGCCGAGAACCTAGATAACCCAGACCAAATTCTGCTGGCCATCAGCCCCGACGTGGCACCTGCGCTGCAAAAAGTCGAGGTGAACCTGGGAGAGGGCTGCGCTCACTCCTGGATCCATGGGGACACGGTGAAGTCTGTTTTTACTTTGAATCCCACTCTGCATGTACATGTATCGTCCTCGAAAATTGGTTGTTCCGATGGCGCACATTGCCAGGCGTGCAAACTGGATTGCCATGCTAAACTGAGGGCCGTTGGTTGGTTCTATCATTGGTTGTTTTCTCACGACCCTGCGGATCAATGTTCAGTGGAACACCCTGTAGGCTCCGAGCACTGGATCCATTTACCTCTATGAAAAGTGTTATGAGTATATCCGTTTTTCTTTTGTATATTCCTTTACTGTCGCCAAGTTTTGGTTTTTGTAATAACTACTGTAACACTGTAATAACGATTTTGTACTAATTAAAGGCCGATTACCTTCAGAACATTCGCTTTTCTCGCCTCACTCAGAAACACTCGCGTCCCCACACTTCACCAGCTAGGAAACGTGATTCGTACGCACGTACACGTCATGTGTTCGTGGTGAGCTGTATTAAAAGGAAGAAGTAGAAGAAGAAGATTAGCATCTAGTTGCAGCTGCGGCGTGAGCCCCACCTTTGTCGCACGCGGCTCTTCCGGGCTCACCCGGGTCAAAATCTCTGACGACTTTTCGCGTTGTTTTGGTGTCCAGGTGAGGTCAAAATAATACGTTACAGAATCTGCGTATTAGACTAGATGTAGCCTGCTCAATTCAGTCCAAGAACGCATTTAAAACACCAAGAAAACTCGAAGAAAACGCAAAAGGGGGCTAAGTGCTCGGTCGCTTTTTAATGTTCTGTTGACCCTCCAGCTCGGCCTTCTTTGGTGCAAGAGGATGCACCTACTTGACAACGTGCGTGTTTTATCTGTCTCTTTTTCGTGTCGGCGACACGAATGGAAGGCAAAATAAAGCCCATGTAAACGCGAGCATGACGCGAAATAATGCGGGGCGGCGACCAAATGAAAACGTGAAATCAAGCCGACCTCTGAATGCACAGTCGGGCCCGCCCGGTAGTCGAACATCGGACTTGCCGCTCACTGAGCGGCGACGGTAACCAGTGAGCCAGAGCGGATGCCTGCCAGAGGTGTGACCGGCGCTAGATTTGAGCCAACTCGGTGGACGCATGACATTCGCGCCGACTACACCTCAGCTCAGGCATCCGCTCTGGCTCAGGCTCAGCTTGTTATATGCTTAACTTTTACCATATGTATAAACAATTTTAATGCCAAACGGCAACCTAATGTTTATAGCTGTTGAGTTTTTAATTGTTAAAAATTTTATGAATAAAGATGTTTTTGAAAAAAAAGTGGTTATATACCGTCGTCGCTCAGTGAGCTGAACTGAGGGCTCTTCGTTGGTTCGAACACTGGTTGTTTTCTCATGCCCCTATCGATAAATGTTCTGTGGAACACACTGTAGGCTTCGAGAGCTGGTTGCATATACCTCTTTGAAATGTGTCAAGGGTAAATCGATTACGATTTTGTGCTAACTGCACTGGAAATGCAAGTGTGTGAATGTCGCTCACCTGCAGCGACATTCACACACTTGCATTTCCAGTGTGAGGCTCACTGAGAAACACGATACGCACCTTTCCTTCGGGCGGATAGAAGCTCCTTCGCTACTTATATTTACAGCCAACAGCGGATCTCATTCCTAAAATTACGGCAAAATTTTACGAATACTACACTCAGAAAACTCCTTGCGATCCGCGCTACAAAAACGGAAGCCAAGAAAATGTCACTAGCGTGAAACAAATTTTGGTCGCCATGATCTCGTGATTTAGTCATGTTGATAAAGGTGTGATCGACCTGTATTTTGTTTAGAATTCTTGATCAAATGTTTAGTTGGCTTGCGGGAGTACATTTTCATTGATTCAACACTCTTTTGGTTATTAGGACAAAAACGCCTTTCTCAGTGTATGTATTACAGAAATTGTCCAGAGCCACAGTTCATTCCTAAAATTACGGGAAAATTTCAGTTTGGCAGCTTGAGAAACGTTTGGTGAATTATCGTTCAACCTCCAGCGATAATCGCATGCCTCACACATTTCAAAATCATACTGCGCTGCCGTTCACAAAACTTTCAACGAAAGAAAAACAATCTCACAAACACAACGAATGATGCCTCTTTATGCGCGGCGAGTACATCAGCAGGAAGCCGAAGCCACCAGCAGCAGCGCAAGCAGACCGACCGCTTGAGGAGAGCGTTTTGTCAGTCCGAGGGAGTAAAGCGGCGGAGGAGGATGAGGAGGAGGGCGCCCGGCCCTAGGGGCATGAATATGCAAGGGCGTCACCACCACCACCAGCAGCACCGCCGCGCCGCACCGTGCCGTGCCGTGCCACCCGCGCGCCGAGATTTCAACAAGGTGAAGGAGGCCCGATTCAACTACCGGCATACGACAAGCAGCGCCTTCATTAGAACAGAGCGCCCCGCGCCGCCGAACGACTTCCGGCCCGCGCGAGCGACGCGGAAGACCCGCACCTCCTGACCGTGTCCGTCGCGGGGCATGTCTCACAACGGGGATGC